CCATGCCAAGTGCAAGTCATCCAAGCAGCAGACAGGGTGCCCAGATGATGCTCAGAGCAGTCAGGGCAGCTGGCTCATAGACTGGTAATTTGTGTAGGTGAGCATTCAAGAGCAGTTTCCCAACCCTACTCACCTGTAATCTAAGAACTTAAGAAGAGCCCTGCTGGATCAGGCCAAAGGCTCATGTAGCCAAGTACTCTGTTCTCACAGTGGCTGACCAGATGCATCAGTGGGAGGCTTCCTGCTAGCAGGACCAGAGTGCAACAGCTCTCTTCCAATAATTTGGAATTCAAAGGCAGACTGCCTCAAACACTAGAGGGAAAACAGAACCACCAAAAGCCTTGTCCTCCATGTGTCTGTATGTCTAATCCTCTTTCAAAGCCACCCAAGTTGGTGACCAACACTACCTCTTTTAGGCGCAAATGCCATAGTTTTAACTTTGCACCGTGTCAAATAGAATACTCTCTGTGTACAGTTCTGTCCACCTCATCTCCAAAAGGATATTGTGGAGCGGGTGAAGTAACTGTGGGAATGTTTAGGAATGCGGGGGGTATATATTGTCTAAGATATCCTATCCCAACTTGTCTTTTCAAGTTCAACAAAATCAGCAGAGTTAACATTCCCCCTTTTTTTAAACACACGCACAGCAGATAGCTTGCTCAGACTCGTTAGAGTCTCTGTAAATATTTAAATACGCAGTATAAAACATTTACTCACAAGTAATCATCTGTTCACACAAAGGTTCCCAGAAGGCAGACGTAAAAGGTTAGAACATAGTTTAAATGTGGTGGCTATCTCCTTACGGGAGAAAGCCCCCCTTTTCTTCTCTTGGCCTGGAGCCAAGGGTGCATCTTAGTAGTGCTGTTGTTAAGATGGCATCGATAGAGACGAGACAAGATGGTAGCCAGCCTGTGGTTCTTTCTACTTCTTGAGAGGCCACCCCCATCTCAAGTTACACATAGGAAGTTTCATCTCAGTCCCGGAAAGCAGGAAGTTCTGGCTGGAGGACTGAGACAACCTTCATGTCTACTCAGCAGTGTTGTGTTTGACTGCACCTGATTCTTACATCCTACAGTAACTCCCCTATGAGGAAAGGTTGCAGCAGCATTTGGGACTTTTTTAGTTTACAGAAAAGGTGTGTAAGATGTGACATGATAAGTTTACAGAATTATGTATGACATGGAGAAAGTGGACAGAGAAGAGCTTTTGTCCCTCTCTCATAACGCTAGAATTCATGAACATCCAATGAAACTGAACGTTGGAGCATTCAGGGCAGACAAAAGAAAGTCCTCCACAGAGTGCATAGTTAAACCATGGAACTCATTTCCCCAGGAGGCAGTGATGGCCACCATCTTGGATGGCTTTAAAAGAGGGTTGGACAAATTTCTGGAGGATAAGGCTATAAATGACTACTAGTCATGAAGACTATGCTCTTCCTTGATGGTGAGAGGCAGTAATACTTCTGAATATCAGCTGCTGGGAACCACAGGATGCAATCCCAATATTACAAGAAGGCTGAAGTCATACAGCCACTTTTAATCCCCACTGTCTCATCCTTCTGCATGTGTAGATCAGACCTAACTGTTGAGGATCCAAGCAATGTGCATCCCATGTGTGTGAATGAACTCCGGCATCCAGTATCCAGAGAGATAATGGAGGGTGCCTCAATAATTTTATCATTTTTGTATATGTGTCACTATGGAGCCTTTGAAGTTGGTCAGGACAATAAAATCAGCTGTATGTGCCTCTTTCAGGGTTTTCTGGGAGATCCTGGCCCTCCTGGCGAAAAAGGAGAAAAGGGGGCAAAGGTGAGTGTAGCAGTTGAGACCCCACCCACAATAAACACATGTTTGATTGATTTATTTTAAAAAATATATTTTTATACTGGTGTTCACAAAATAAAATAAAAAATAAATCTCAGAGCAGTTTACACAGGTACCGGGCAAAAGCATTTCCTTTTTGGCAGGCCTTCGACTCTTATCTGTGACCTTGAGTGGGTGGGATCTTTAATCCTGCCACTTCAAAATACGTTTGGATTTTAGATTTTGTTTGTTTGTTTTCCACCCATTTATGTGTTTGTTTATATATTGTAAGACATATATTGTAATCATCATCACCATCACCATCACCATCACCATCATTTTATTATCTGTGTACCACACATCTGACCAGGTTGCCCCAGCCACTCTGGGCAACTCCCAACAAAATATTAAAAGCACAATAAAACCTCAAACATTAAAAAAATTCCCTGCCCTCTTTTATAAACTGTGCATATATATTTCCACCATCTCCACCTCCTCCTTAAGATAAAATTGAAGAGCAGGTTAGCAGCCTTCAGAAGAACTGTGGAGGAACAACAACAACAACAACAACAACAACAAAACAACAATAACAATTTTACTATTTATACCCTGCTCATCTGGCTGGATTTCCCCAGCCACTCTGGGCAGCTCACAGCATATATCAGAACATACTAAAACATCAAAACATTAAAAACTTCCTGATACAGGGCTGCCATCAGATGTCTTCTAAAGGTGAGATGGTTGTTTATTTCCTTGACATCTGAAGGGATGGTGTTCCACAAGGAGGATGCCACTAACAAGAAGGCCCTCTGCCTGGTATCCTGTAACAGTAAGAGAACCAGCAGCAGACCCTCAGAGGAGGACCAGTTTAAGCCAGCTGTACTCAGCTTCTCTGAAGGAATAACCCAAACATCATGAACCTTCTGCTTGTTTCTTTCACACAGAGAAGCTTCCAGAACCCTCTTGAATTAATTAGAATATGAAAGATCTCTACACATCAGAGCAATATTTTCTGTACCAAGAAATGCAAACTGACAGTTCTATGATCCCAGCTGCCACTCCCAGTCACCAGTCTAGCTGCCGCATTCTGGATTAATTGTAGTTTCCAGGTCACCTTTAAAGGTAGCCCCACGTAGAGCACATTGCAGTTGTCCAAGAGGGAGATAACCAGAGCATGCACCACTCTGGCGAGACAGTCTGCAGGCAGGTAGGGTCTCGGTTGGCATACCAGGTGGAGCTAGGTGGAGCCCAGCTGCCCTGGGCACAGAATTGACCTGTGCCTCCATGGACAGCTGTGATGATGTCCCCCAGTCTGACTCTCAAGCTGCCCACCCTCTGTCCTCCTAAAACAATGCTTCTATCTTATTAGGATTCAACCTCAATCTGTTAGCCACCATCCATCCTCCAACCACCTCCAGACATTCACACAGTACCTTCACTGCCCTCACTGGTTCAAATTTGAAGGAGAGGTAGTTATCATTCTATTGCAAAGGCGATGATTAAAAACAACCCATAGAAACATGCCCCTCCCCCATGTCTGTATTATTGCAGCATCATAACACATGAAACAGCCATGGCTCCCCCAAAAGGGAATTCTGGGAACTGTAGTTTGTTAAGGGTGCTGAGAGTTGTTAGGGTACCCCCTTTCCTCCTCACAGAGCTACAATTTCTAGAGTGGTTTAACCATCTCTTCCAAGGGAACTCCAGAAGTCAACACCAGGATGTTTGTATCCTTCACTGTATGTCATTTTTCATTTTATGTCATTTTTCAGGGGGCCAAAGGAGAATGCGGACCTTCTGGACCTGTTGGGCTCCAGGTAAGCAATTTGGCTATATCACTTTGGCTATATAATCTATCTTCACAGCAGGGATGGGCAACTTCTCATGGTTCCCTAAATCTTTAGCAGAGCAAATGTATTTTGTCAAGATCCCTGAATCTGATAGTGATCTGGGCTTTTGTCCAGATGATAGTGTGACTCTCGGGTTCAAAAGGTTCGCTTCAGTGTCATTATCATCAATAATTAACATCACCTCCAAATATTATTACATGACATTATAGAGGTTTGTCTTACAGGGTTTGATGGGCCCTAAAGGTCTTCATGGTTTTCAGGGTCTCCCTGGGCCAAAGGTGAGTGATTCCTGCTCTGCTCCTTTAGTCCTCTATTCTAAGCATGATCCTTTTTTTTTTTTTTTGCAGTCCCTATTAATTATAAGTAATATGTCCTGATATCACTGTCGCTCATTTGCCTGGTTAATTTTTTTATTTGATTTGATTTATATCCCACCTTGCCTTCAAGGAACTCAAGGTGGTATCCATGCTTTCCCCATCTCTATTTTATTCTCACAACAACCCTGTGAGGTAGGTTAGACTAAGAGTTTGGGGCTGGCCCAAAGTAACCCAGTGAGCTTCATGACTGAGTGGGGATTAGAACCATGCTTTCCCAGGTCCTAGTCCAGCGCTCTAACCACTACACAACCCTGGCTTTCTATTGTACAGGCCTTAGTGTTAGCGGTTTTCCATTGACAATAACATTGCTTAATTTTGCAGCAGTCTGCAGCCCTGACTGAGTTTGCTCTTGCAATGGCTTGATGAAGTTTGGATTTCTTTTGTTTTTAATTTGGTTTCAAGCTTTCTAACCTGCCTCTCTGCCAAGATACTTAATAGGGATAAAAGCTGTGTTTACTTTAAACATATTATATTATTTTAATTTTATCTATCAATCCCTTCATAATTCAACAGAAATCTCTAGCTAGTTTTTGAATCCCAGCAAAAGGCAGCATAAGCAAACAATACAAACTTCCTATTCACAATCCAGTAACTACTAATCATCACCATTCGACATTCTAAGTAAGATAATGAGTAAATAAATATCTCTAAACAATGTGCATTAATATTTTTAAAACTCATGAGAGAAACAAAACATATACAAAACATAAAAATGTATCAACCTGTATCAAAATGCAACTTAATTTATAATGTATCAGAGAGGATCTATATTAAAGGAATCAAAACTATGCACTACCAAAAATTGATTTATGTGTATAGGCATAGTCACTCTTATTCTGCATGATGTGTTTTGCTTTTGCTAACTATAAAAATATCAGGCTACGGGTCCACCCTCTACAGAATGCTGTGACCCTCCAGATGTTGCAGGACTATAACTCCCACTATTGGTTGTGCTGGCTCAAGCTACAGAGGGAAGGCCTGTAACCCAGTGGCAGAACATCTGCATCGCATGCAGAAGGTCCCGGGTTCAATCCTTGGCACCTCCAGGTACGGCTGGGAAATATTCCCTGCTTGGAATTCTAGAGAGCCTCTGCCAGTCAGTGTAGACAATACTCAGCTAGATGGACCAATGTTCTGACTCTGTATAAGGCAGCTTTGTACGTTCTTCATAAGACTGAGGAAGTTGTTGTTTAGGAAGGTAATGTCTAATTTAAACATTTTATCCTGTTGTAGGGAGATGCCGGCTCCATGGGCTGTTCAGGACGTGCAGGGCCTGTGGTAATAATTTCACGTTTTCTTTAGTCACTTGTAAAATCCCATCCTGCCCCAGTGTTTTTCATTAACCTGTAAAATGTCAAAATAAAGCAACAATGCTTTTAATAAGTTACCCAAACAAGTGGGGGAGATAGATAGAACAGCAAGCTTTCCTCCCTCACTGATTCCTTCTTGACTAATTACTTGTTACAGTGGTACCTCTGGAACAAACGGGATCCGTTCCGGAGCCCCGTTCACATCCTGAAGTAAATGTAAGATGCGACTGCGCGTCTGCGCGTGCGCGGGTCGCATTTTGCCGCTTCCACGCATGCACGTGATGTCGTTTTGAGCATCTGCACATGCACGAGCGGCGAAACCCGGAAGTAACATGCTCCGTTACTTCAGGGTCTCCACAGAGTGCAACCCGAAAATATTCATCCCAGAGCTACTTCAACCCGAGGTATGACTGTAGGTGTTTTTCTCTCAGGTTCTACATCCTTCCTCTTTCTTCTCCAGTTCAATTAGTATTAGAGTTTCCTTTGTTAATCTCACGACTTCAGGATGGCCATATGTCAGTTTGTACTCATAATAGCCTTGTTTGCCATGAGTTTCTTGTGATTAAAATGATGGGGCTGTTGAGTCATGAGGAGGGTTGAAAAAATTATCTAGCCCAATTTCCAGACTCCAAGAATATCTACAATGCACATTTAAGTACTGGTTGGAAAATAAATTACTCTCCTTGAGGAATTCTTGGAACTGTAATTTTTTGAATGATACAAATATTGACTAGCAGTTTCCAGGATTCTTTGGAAGAAGCCATGATAGTACAGTCATACCTCGGGTTGAATGTGCTTCGGGATGAGCGTGTTCAAGTTGCACTCCACGGCAACCTGGAAGTAACAGAGTGCGTTACTTCCGGGTTTCGCCCCTTGCGCATGCGCAGACGCTCAAAATGACGTCACGCACATGCGCAGAAGTGCCAAAACATGACCCACACATGCGCAGACACATGGACATGGGTTACCACTGTAATCAGTCTGTAGTTCAGATCGTCCATTAGGACTTCCCTTAGCCATCACTTTATATGGGGCAAGTGTGGGAAGAACTTAAGAGCTTTGGGCAGCTGTAAAATAAGCAAATCCCATGCTAGAGTTCATTAGGAAAGGAATTGAAAATAAAACTGCTGTTATAATGCCTTTATACAAATCTATGGTGGGACTACATTAGGTATGGTTCTAGTTACCTCACTTCAAAAAGGATACTGTAGAATTGGAAAAGATCCATAAAAGGATGGCCTATATGATCAAGAGGAAAGAGAAGACCCCTTATGAGGAAAGTTCCTACTGCACATCACCAAGCTAGCACTTTAGAGAATCAGTGGAATGCAGGAGGAGTGTCGCTGTTTAGGCCAGACCCTTGGAGGCTCTAAAGTTCTCTCAAGGGGGTGGAGCTTAGAGAAGGGAGCATGGAGTTGCTGACATCATTCTGCCACAAGAAACAATGGAGTGTGGCTCCAGGAGTGAAGTCAAACTGTTGGAGAATCACAGTGCATGCTGTGGCTGCAGAGATTAGTAACTCATAACTGCTGCCTTCCGCAGCACCAAAGTAGCAAGCCTGGGCAGTGTGTATGGAGGTCCTGGGCTGCCCAGATGACAAGACCCCGTCTTGGTCTCATTGATGTGGTCCAATGGAAAGCAGAGCAATACATTTGGCACCATCTGAGCTGCAGGAGGCGTACAAGGTACCATCCAACCATCTTAGTGTCAGGATGCTGTCAGCAGCTCCCAGCTGGTTGCCCAGGAAAGTATAAAGACAAGGAAATGTTTCTGTCTTTAAGCTCTTTGCTCTCCTACTTTTAAGGCTCACTGGGTTCTGGGAGATGGAGGGTCTGGAATGCTTTCTAATGACAATGTCTCAGCTGGGTGTTGTTCCTGCTCTCCCAGGATTTCCCAGCTTTTCTCCTCATCTGCCTCTGAGCTTCTACCTCCCTCAAACCCCTGTTGTAAAGCTACACTGTCTTCCTCTTCCTCCTCCCTGGAAGGGTCAGGATGGAGAGGCAGTTTCTGTCAGTACGCCTTTGAGCCGGTGCCAGCAACTGGGCTCAATAACTGGTTCTGCCCCGACTGGGCTAGGCAACTGGAGCACTTCCAAAGACCTTCCACTCCTGGAAAACAGGTCTCAGTGCACTGGACTCACAGCTGTGCATTGTGAGCACCAGACTCAGCAGAGTATAAACAACACGGAAGAAAGCTGGGAAGCATAACTTCTTTTATTTCTAATAGCTGCTGCAACTAAAACTCCTGGCTTGCATGAGTGCTACAGCTCTCACTCAGCCATCTAATCACTACATAGATAACACACAGACTCCACACAGAGTCAGGCAGGAGCAGAAGAAGTGAAGAGCAGTTTCCGCCCCCTCCTTTCTGAAAACACCATATCAGGAGATTCTCGCAAAGGGAGGGGGTGAAAATATCAACAGTTTCCACCATTCCTTCTCTGCCCAGTTAGGGACAGAGACACTTAGGGACTGCACTCTGGATTTGCATAGGGTTTACTCCTTAGCCTTTTCTTCTCCCAAAGATGTCCCTCAAGGCAGCAGGTAGGAAGTATGGAGACAGAGGCATAAAAGGTTCCATTTCCTCCCAAACTTTGTTGGAGCAAATTGCTCACTCAGAGCTATCTCCAGTCCACTAACCTTTGCCCAGCCTTGCCTCAGGCCTTTCACTACTTTCATCATGAGGTCCAGCATTGTTTCAGAACATGACAATTATGCTCCTCATAGCTGTATGTTAATGCTTTTTGTTTTGTTTCATTTCATACATGTAAAAATATATATATGCTCCCCACAAAGTTTCCCTTTAGCAGAGTCCTCCAAATTTGCCTCAGATTTTGCTTCAGGAGATATTTACAGTCAAATAGCACCTGTCAATAATTTTTTTTTTTTAATTGCACAACTACATATTCTGTCGGGACGTGGGTGGCACTGTGGGTAAAACCTCAGTGCCTAGGACTTGCTGATCGTAAGGTCGGCGGTTCGAATCCCCGCGGCGGGGTGAGCTCCCGTCTTTCGGTCCCAGCTCCTGCCCACCTAGCAGTTCGAAAGCACCCCTAAGTGTAAGTAGATAAATAGGGAGCGCTTTATAGCGGGAAGGTAAACAGCCTTTCCGTGTGCTGCGCTGGTGCCGGTTCGCCAGTGCAGCTTCGTCACGCTGGCAACGTGACCCGGAAGTGTCTTCGGACGACGCCGGCTCCCGGCCTCTTAAGTGAGATGAGCGCACAACCCTAGAGTTGGTCACGACTGGCCCGTACGGGCAGGGGTACCTTTACCTTTTTACATATTCTGTCACCTTATCTGTGTTGGTGTTTATAGGGTGAGCTGGGGCAACCAGGACTGACTGGAGTGCAAGGAGTTAATGGCTCCCAGGTAAGTGTTCTGGGGATATTGAGGGGTGCAAATGCAAAATGAAAAATTCCATCCTCAGAGAATTTATTTGAACAGAAGTCAAATAAAGGGGTAAGTGGATGTAAGATTAACAGAAGAACAACATGCTGGACCAGGCCAATGGGTCATCTCGTCCAGCATCCTGTTCTCATATCCACAACCATATTCCTCAGTGGTAGACTTGTAAACAGGACCTGAGCACAAGAACACTCTCCCCTCCTGTGCTTTCCAGAAGCTGGTATTCAGAAGCATTACTGTGTCCAATTAAAAATTCCACATTTTGACAAGTGTTAATAAACCATTAGGGATGCGGGTGGTGCTGTGGGTTAAACCACAGAGCCTAGAACTTGCTGATCAGAAGGTCGGCAGTTTGAATCCCCGCGATGGGGTGAGCTCCCGTTGCTCGGTCCCTGCTCCTGCCAACCTAGCAGTTAGAAAGCACGTCAAAAGTGCAAGTAGATAAATAGGGACCGCTCCGGCGGGAAGGTAAACGGTGTTTCCGTGCGCTGCTCTGGTTCACCAGAAGTGGCTTAGTCATGCTGGCCACATGACCTGGAAGCTGTACGCCGGCTCCCTCGGCCAATAAAGCGAGATGAGCGTTGCAACACCAGAGTCGGCCACGACTGGACCTAATGGTCAGGGATCCCTTTACCTTAATAAACCATTAAGGTTCTCCACTCCTGATCTGCAACCTAAGTTGCCTACATTCGTCTGCCCTTTGGCACATTGCAGAAACATTCATAACTCCTCTCCCTCCCTCCCTCTCTCTGTGTATCTGTATGTGTTGAATATCTACAACTAGATTTCTTTGTTAAAAGCAATGAAACCAGAACATAGTTTCAGCTCTGCTTACCAGTTCTTGGGTTCTAAAGTAGCAACCAGCACTCTGCAAATGTTGAAAAACATCAACAGAACCGGTCCTGTCCTCTGAAAAAAGGGAATGGGCTGTGAAATATTTCCATGTGAGAAGAGGGGTGGGGTGCCGAAACTGTGGCCCCTTCAGTTGAGGTTGGACTCCCAACTCCCAGTAGTCCCAGTCAGCATGGCTTATGGCCAGGATGACTTGGTAGTCCACCAACAATAGGGGAGGAGGGCACAGGATCCCCATCCCTAGTTTAAAAGGTTTAGATTTTTTTTTAAGGATGAATACACCACTCCCACCAAGAGAAGGTTACTCAACCTAAAAGTATATGTATCTATGTATTATAATGTGACTGTGTGAGAGAGATAGTTGTTGTTGATTTATTTTTTGTCCTCTTCAGGGAGAAACGGGGCCTTCAGGCCTGCCAGGCCCACGAGGCCCTCAGGTATGTACTCATTTCTGGAATTGCTATGGCAACAGAGCTGATA